CAATAGTCTCACAGCTCTCATTCTTTTAACTGTTCAGGTTGAGTCTCACAGGAAGGCAGCGGCGGCAGTTGCTGCTGGTAAATTTAAAGAAGAAATAGTTCCAGTTAATACAAAGGTAATGTAGTGCCTTAGTTTTCTCTTCCCAAATAACTGTGTCTACTTTTGAGGAATTTTTACTCAAAAGTTAGAATTGTTTGACCTGCCCTGACACTTATGTTGTCTTCCAAAGATCGTGGATCCAAAAACTGGTGAAGAAAAGGAGATTGTGGTCTCAGCAGATGATGGAATCCGGTCGAATACCACACTGGCAGTCCTGTCAAAACTTAAACCAGCATTTTCCAAGGACGGGACCACTACTGCTGGTAACCAATAGGAAAATGTAACTGAATGCAGATTTCTTTTAGCGGTAACACTCTTAAAAGATTGATGTTCTTTTAATCGTAGGAAATGCTAGCCAAGTAAGTGATGGAGCTGGAGCTGTCCTACTAATGAGGCGAGATGTTGCTACACAGAAGGGTCTTCCAATTCTTGGAATCTACAGGTATCAGTACTCTCTCTATATGTTTTGCAACATAGTACATAGGTAGAATCATGCTCATATTCTGTAGAAAATTTCCTGCGGTTATTGGCAACATATTAATACTTCGGTTTACGCTTTTACTACCAACATTATGGCTCAACGCTTTTTTGGCATCGAAGCAGAGAGAATTATGATACTTTTAATCATTACAGTATTCTGTTTTTCACTCAACATGTGAGCCGAATTTGCAAATGTAGGAGCTTTGCTGCAGTTGGAGTTGATCCAGCTGTGATGGGTGTTGGTCCTGCTGTTGCTATCCCAGCAGCAGTGAAGGCCGCGGGCCTTCAAATTAATGATGTTGACCTCTTTGAGATTAATGAGGTATACTTTCATCTAGTTCTTCCATTCTGAATATACTACTATATCCACCGATGATACTCATTTGCTCCTGTACATAGGCTTTTGCATCTCAGTATGTGTACTGCTCAAAAAAGTTGGATCTCGATCCCGCAAAAGTCAATGTTAATGGAGGTGCAATTGCTCTTGGACATCCATTGGGTGCCACAGGTATCTGTTTTTAATCAATGCTGTGTGCACCTGGCGCTCATCACTTGCTTGATCCTTGGACTGTTTGACACTGCTTTACCCCAAACAGACAGTCTCGTGCTGCAGCCACTTGCATGCTGCATATATACTCAGTGGCGATAACGTTTCCATGTTTTCATCTTGGCAGGTGCGCGATGTGTCAGCACTCTTCTCAACGAGATGAAACGCCGAGGCAAGGACTGCCGGTTTGGAGTGATTTCTATGTGCATAGGTACATGATTTAGTTGCATGGAAAGAACGGTCGTTGATTCGATAGTAGAACTGCAAATGACAGAAATTATTGATGAACAGGTTCCGGGATGGGTGCGGCCGCCGTTTTCGAGCGTGGAGATGCGGTGGATGAGCTGACGAATGCCCGAGGGGTGCCCTCGCTTAACTGGCTCTCCAAAGACACCGTGTAACTATTTCTCATGCAAATTGTGTAGCTGCCACCATTGTTCTCAATTATCGATGCGTGCCGGGGCTAGGGAATAAGTTGATCCTGCATTTGTAATTCTTCTTAGGTCATGAAAAATCTTATCAGCGTTTGAGCTTATTTGTTTCACCGTTTTGTGTCTCTGTTCCTAAAATAGAGCTTTGATAAATAAATTCTGATGAACTCTCGTCTTAACGCTACAAATCATATTTGCATTTTATTTGCATATATGTGGTATGTTAGTTCTTGTTTGGAACAGAAATGAAAATTATAGGAATTTCGGAGGATTGACATCTAGTAAACCGTACGCAAATATGCGCGACACATACATTCTTTCATACGAAGGCAAATAGATTTGCTTCATTGATTAATTAAGAAAAAGAGAGCTGCCTAGATAATTTACAGAAAAATAGGCGAAAACTGATACAACACCCCCTAGGCAGACTACTCGCAAAGCATGAAACGCCATAACCGTACGAGCGACCCTCAAATGCATAATAACCACAACCATCGACACTTGTACAACATAACAGAACTCCGACACTTGTACTCCCTTCGTTTTTAAATATTTGTCTTTCTATAGATTTTAACAAGTGACTACATACGAAATAAAGTGAGTGCATCTATGGACGTGAATTTTTGGGACATGATGGCACGCGATGCCGTAATCCCGTCCGTTCGCATGCACATCATGATTACTACTTAATATAGGGCGCTGCGCAATACCTGACGCGTTATTTGCTGTTCACCAAGAATACGTCGTGGTATACCTCGGAGTAGTGGGCCAGGTGTCACTTATCATCGTATGAATACTCGCTTGTCCGATAGCGACTGAGCACACAGGTTGAGTCGGTCAATAACTCCTCTGGGTGTGGGGCTGTCGTCCAATAACACCGCCTCGCTCGTGCTATGCATTGTAGCTCGTCTTCAAGCTGTACCCTGTGGAAAAGCAGCAGAACAAGAGAAAATGGCTTCAACAGAAACGGAGACTCGCATGTTAGCATCTTGACATTATATTTGATCATGCGTCTTTTGTTTATTTAGGTATTGCCGAACACGCTGACGTCTACTCATCCTGTTCGTACCTTAGCATGTCGACTGTTTTGGTGGAAAGTTCAGGAGCGGGGTGCTCACTGCATGCTGCCATGTCCATTAGCTATGCCCCGTGCCTGTAAGCTGGGTGATATTTACACATCGTGACGCACCCGTCCATAAGCATCGTCACCCTGCTCTCTCTCTCTGTGTGTATGCCAGTAATGTAGCCCGTCTTCAAGCTGGATCCCTGGAAAGTAGAAGAACACCAGAAAATTGGCTTCGGCGTGCACATAAATGCAGAGGTTACCTTTTCAGTCTCAAATCGATCACGTGTGGTTGACTCTTAGTCTCAAATCGATCACGTGTGCCTTTTCAGTCTCAAATCGATCACGTGTGGTTGATTCTATGGCACTACACGGTCACATCTCACATCTGTTTCTTTTGTTTGACCTTACCATGAGTAGTGGTTTGACATCATCTGTATGCCCAATTGCCCATTAATCCCTCCTGGGTAGCTTAATGGCTGTCAGAGGCATTTACGCTGCCTTGGCTGCCAATTAAACGACTAAATTAAAGGCCGCGCGTCAGATATTTATATCGGCGGCTTGAATGGGGCGCATATTGTGTGGGTCTACTCCCTGCTGATTTGGTGCGTTTCCATTGATGATTAAAATTAGACTTGCATGGTTAGCTGCCCGACGAAAATGAATACGCGGTACATGGACACACATAGCCCATTAGTAGATACATGGAGGGACATGGTGCAGGAAATAAATACTGGTACTAGATATCAGATGGTCTAATGGGTTCAGTGCTAAATAATGACGACGACCATCTTTTTGCAGTGGGGTTATGCTTCAGTTGTTGTGGACAAACAACAGGGCGATGGCCGCGATGCACAGGATGAAAAAGTTCATAAGCCACGAGAAGGGTCTACTCCATGTTCATTCCCACAGCCAGAACCTGCATTCTCCATGCTGCAAAACAAATCTTTAGTTTCGCAGATAACGATATAGATGGATGGAGAAAAGGTGAATGATGAACTACCAGAGTTCAAACTTGTAAAGATGCCACCCAGGCTTTGATCTGTGGCAAAAACAAACCAGATGACGTAGCCCGCGGAGAGGATCCGCCTGGTTGGCGATGACATGAGAGGCAGGTGTTGTAGAGCGCAGACATGGATGAAGATGAACACGTGCTTCTCAACTGCGGTGAGCCTATGAGGGTAAGAGAAGATGAGTTGGACAACCGAAACAAGCAAGAAGAACGTTTTAAAGAACCAAAGGAGTGTGCTGCAATTAGCCGTTTGAGACTAACAAACAATCAATGCGTTCTGATCCAGTGCTGCCTCACGGGCCATGCGCTGCATGCGTCAGCTGCAAATACGTGGCTATACAGACTGCTATATGAGGAGGGGAAGTCATTATATAGCCGGAGGGTATTAATGTTGCACGAATCGCGCGACAGCATGCGGTGTGAGATACCAACCGCGCGTGGTGGCATGTTCACTCGTGATTATTCGGTGTATCTATACTCTAAAATATGTATGCATGCATCCGTATGTTGTAGTCCATTTGAAATGTCTAGAAAGACAAATATTTGGGAATGAAGGGAGTACAACATAACAAAACTTCTGACGAGAACATCGCCAATGACAAAAACTGGGCACCCTCCATCATGAGACCGCAAGCACCTTCTGGATGACTCCACCCTTCTTACTTTTGTTCCTCTTTGATTTCTCCCTGCTTGATTTCTCCTTCACGAGGCAATCACTTGACTTGCCAAATCCAAGGCTGATCAGCCGCCCATTTGTCAAGAAAATCGTAGAACTTGGATCATTTTGGTGTAGTTGTCGTCAGCAAGAAGCTTATAGGAGCAAGCACAAACACAATGGTCGCATCGGCATCCTCAACCCGAGGAATCATCGACACGACATCCTCGACCATAGGAACCACCATCAAGATGGGCTCATACGCCTCTAGTCGCTCACATGACCCACACGAGGTCACCGAGGAGTCCGCCTCCGAATGCTCCACAGAAAAAAAAAGGTAAAGTAGGGCTCAGAAATAGTTCCCGAAACTCGGGCATGATCTACAGCACTCGAGCCATAAGCACGGCAATGGACTCGCCCTCAGTGGTAGGCAAAATAGGGGATAAAGTCATACAGAGACGATGAATTGTTCCAAACACGAGGGGAGAAACATTCATGTAGCTCTCGCCCCTTTCCCCTAGTCAGCACATGTACGTATAGACCAGCACACAAGTCTACAAGTGTATTTCTTGGTCATAGATATGGGGACATCAACGGTCCCTGACCCTGCGTCGCCCGTCTCCCTCCTCTGGCGACTCGAGGAAAAAACTGATGGAAAATTAGGCAATTTCATGATTAATTCTAGTAAATAAATCATGAATAAACAATTATTAGCATGCATAGCTCTAGCATACTAGATGAACATAATCTCATGAACAACAATTTAGCACATGCTGTAATGACCATAATAAAAGATTGGATCAGATCACAACAATGATCGATTGCAGGTGAAGTAGTGGTAGCTGCAGAGGTGATGTTATTGACAGCGATGTTGGTGACGTGAAGTTGATGATGACCGAGACGACAATGTGTGCCACCGCGTGACTTGGACGAAAGACAACCCGCGGTGGTGGATGCGAGTAGTCGCGCGTAGCACTTCCTAGAACTCTAATTCGCCCTCTCCTGGTGCAAATCACAAGTACAAGAGGTTCCAGAGACATGCTCTCCTTGCTCATGGTCGACTAGGGGGGTGAATAGGAGACTACAAATTTTAATCTTTCTTGTCAATTTTAAGGTTTAGCGGATAAATAGGGTTCACTAGATGTGCAACTAGGTGAACACAACCTATATGACAAGCAAGCTTAATGCAAAGTATGCTAGGCAACAATCTAATTAGCAAGCCAACAAGCATACAAGGCAAAGTAAAGTGCAGAAAAGGATTAACCACAAGTGAGGCGAGGACGCGGATTTTATCCCGAAGTTCACTCTTCCTTGGGGAAGAGCTACTCTCCATTTAGAGCGGTGCCGGAGCCAAAGTTTGCGGAACGCCACCGAAGGCTCACTGTAATCTCTTTCGAGTCACCCCCAATGGATGAGCCTTGAATCACTCGGGGTTGGTCTTGAAGGTGACCACCACACCTTGACAAACTTCTCCGGAGCACACCACAAGCAAGGAAGCTTCCGGAGGAACCTCTACCGCCTAGGAGCCCAAGCTTCACGAGTAACAAGTTAATGGGGAAGAAAAGTTGTGGGGAACGCAATTTGGTTTGGTCAAGATGTAGATCGGGTCTTGCTCTCCCAATCCCCAAAGTTTCAACAAGTTTGGATGAAGGGATTGAGAGTATTGAGCAAACTGAGGTGTAGCAATGGTGGAGCTCAACAAGACATTAGGGTTAGGGATGGAGGAATAAGAAGGGGGGCTTTTATAGTGTTTGTGCCCGGGTGACCGTTTCTGCCCATTGGACCTCGTGCGCATGGGCTAAGTCAGCCCCGTGGGCACGGGGTACTCGAAGACTTTCACACCACCTCGTGCGCACGAGGTATCCAGAGAGTTTACGCAGTACCCCGTGCGCACGGGGTACCCAGTAACTTTCTGTTGCAAGCACTCTGAGTACCACATGCACGCACACTATGGATTTTGAGTGGTAGGAATGGGTAGGCTAGTGTATATGGTTCGACGATGGCATTCCCACACAACATTTATCCACACGAACCCCTCTTAATAGTGCGGTCTTTCCTACGACTCGAAGCAAACCAAATCTAAAACCTTCGAATCACCGGTAGACCACGCCTTTGACATTTTTGAATTGGGAGGTCGCACATCTCCATCACCAAGCACTTGGAACCAATATCCTGAGATAAACTTTAGCAACCGATATTAGTTCTACTAACCACATTGTCATCACATCAAAATATAGTTT